TCTTTTCTTTATTCTTTATTCAAATTATCCAACTGACAAAAAATTAATTAGTATATTTATGACTTATTATATAAACTATAAAGACATTGAAAAAATATAATTTATTTTTATTAAGACTTAATAAAGATTTAAAACAAAAACAACTAAAGTGGCATTTCTGGAAAAAAATTTTTTAAATTTTTTCCTACTTTTCTTCGCATTTCCTTTTATTTCCAATTTATTTTTAACTTACTTTTATTCTTTTTTCTTTTCCTACTAAACTGATGAAAAAATTAGCTTTGCAACAAATAACCAGATTATCGATCCCCTCTCCGTTTAAAAAAGCGAAAAAATGAGACATCAAGTTATTAAATTAAATAATTAGTTAATAATCATTAATAATTAGCAAAGCCTGGGATCCATATGGTTTTGAGCTGCCATATTTAGCTATGGACAATTCTTTTGTTTACATTCTCTAGTTGACAGCAACGATTACTYTAGCAGTAGTGTCACCCTACCTTGATCTACCGAACAGCGCGCAGATAACGTCATAAAAAAGAACACAAAGACGAAAATCAGACAAACAAGCTTAGTGATGGTTTTCACGGCGGCCATGTTGGAGGAACTTAACAAAAGAATTGTCAATGATTTCTATTGTTATATCCTCCAACGTGGCCGCCCTGTCTTTTGTTATTTAATTCTCTTGGGAATGGTTAAAAACCATCAATACTATACTTTCAGCAGATAATTTTCATAGAAGATCGGAGTAGATCTTTGTTTAATTCGGTTAGTATTCTAACTTTTCGTATAACACTCGACACGGTTAAATGACATGCAATGTTCGTTGCTTGCCCTCCAGGGCCCAGTTGTTCAAAGCCCGATTAGTGCTAATCCTGGGTTAACTCTTAATAAGACCTATAGAGTTAATCCTGGATTAGCGCTAATCCAGCTTTGAACAACCCGGCCCTGGTTGCGCTGCTTTGAGGCTGATGCAACGGGTCTACATGGTATGTTTAGATCATGATTTATATTTTTATATTTCTATTKCAGTTTGTGATGCGCATGTGACCATCTTCCCATGTAACACGCGCAATATAAGTATTAAATTATTATAAATTATTTAATTATTAATTATTATTTGTCAAAGTCTTGAAGGTATTTTTAGAATCTGTTCGCTGCGCTATTGAGGTATAAATTACTGTAAAACCCCACTTTGGGACTTTGCACTGGCCGCTTAATAGGTAAGGTTTAGCCTCGTCCCAGGCTACTGCTCTAAAGCGTCCGCTATTTTGGATTTGGGAGAGCTGAAGGAGTAGCCTTGGGACGAGGCTAGTTGAGGTTCTACTGTACTAAGTTGATAACATTATATTAAATAAGTAGTTAGAGTAGTACGAATACAGAATAAAAAGGGACTCCTGACACCTCGCAAAGATACGATAATCAGGCTATAAAATCCTGTGAACACTCGTTTTCAATACTAAGGGTAGAAAGGCGCCTGTCTTGGCCGTGATTGGCTGTTTCTTTTGGTTCTTCACTTCCCTGGTCTTCGTGTGGGACGATTGTTGGGTGATGTCCTTCCATCAACACTTGTTGCTCTTCTTTTCTCTTCCGTATTATGGTTTTTAAGTATTCTGCGCCATTGTCCAACCCCAAAATTCTTTCAACAATCTCAACGTCATCGATGGTCTCCTCGCTGTACACCACGTTAGCGAACCTCTGAATCCTAGACATTTGACTTTCCATGATGTATTGGGTATTGAGTTCAAGCTGCAATTGGCTAAAGTCAACAGGAGTAGGTTTGATGACTGGTTTCGGAGGGATATACGGAGGATTTAACCCAAGAATATCCTTGACTCTATACACTATAAACTTCACTATTTCGTACTTATTCTTGATCGATTTATCCTGCCTGGCTTTGGTGAACGCGATGGTTATTATACACAAGATTATAGTCATGATAACAAATACATTGACCAAGGTAAAAGCGTAGGTGAAAAGTGGCCCAAAATCTTGGGACTCGCCAGGCGCAAACACCCTAAAGCTGAACTTCCCTAATAACATAGAGAGAATACTGTTGAAGGCTCCTATAAAGGTGCTGTACGGTTCCTGTTCAGTTCCCAGCATGTGGAAGGCCCAGAAGGAGAACCCGAGTAAGCTGATCATGAAAATCAAAACAAAACCCTTAAGGTCAGGAATCAGAATTTTCAGGGTCAAATCGAAGATCATAAAATTTTTGTTAAATTTCATAAACTTGAGGAACTGGAGAGTTGGTACTATAACGACTATACAAGAAATAAAAGCAACGAGGTTGTCGTAGAGAGCGATGGGGTAGAACCCATAGAAAAGTGTAGGATTTTCTTGTATGGCCTTGATTCCGTTCTGAAGTTGTATTGCGCGTGCGCCGTAGAGGCCTATAGTCACGAGAGAAGCGACGACAAGAACCACGTCCGTCATATTCCAAAATGAGGCAAAGTAAGCGAGTCTGTATTCGTAGATTTCACAGGAGACTTTGTATATAAGTTGGACGATAAATACGATGAAAATGACCTCACAGACGAGGTATATTAGTTGTAAAGGGGTGAAGTACCGATAGAGACGGAACGAAAAGTGGTCAAATCTCGGGAACGCGCCCCCAAAGGCCGTAAACTCAACCGCAAACGCTACGTCGGATAAAATATTGATATTTCCGTTATAGGAAGCGAACTCTATAAAAACCACCCGAGTGAAACGATCTATCCAGTTCAATTGTTGCAACTCATTCAGCATTTTCAAAGCCGAGGATTTGTTGTAACCTAGCGACGCTATGTAACCTCCCGCTTCGTAGGAGTTAATCCTCGCGTACATTGTGTAGTCTGTGTTTGATTGGCTGCCTTTCTTATGTATCCATGGTGACTGGGTGATKAAGTCACGGGCAGCTTCATACTTCCACCCGGGGCTGTAGTCTTTTTCATCGTAGTGTTCAACACTTGGTACTGGAACGTTGCATTGCGGAAAGTAGGGACTGCTGTATTCGTTTAATGTACATGTACCTGAAAAATATTAAAAATATTGAATATTGTCTTTTATTATTTAAAAAATGCACGCTCGTTATGTGCAGTTACAAAGCACGCAGGTATCAGTGGTATAACACGAGGGAAGTGTTAGAATAGCTATATTCCTGCCAAGCCGCAACTGCTTTATAACTGCTTACAAGATAGCCAGCATGCTTTTTAATTCTAAAATGACGAATAAGAAAGTGCGTGCGCTTGCTGTGTTCCCTCATAAAGGACTTAGCCTAACCAATCAGAAAGCGAGTCGTGTACTTTAAAATCGCGTCAAATCTTTAAACGTTTATGGTTTACCGTTTGGTTTGACTCGCTGCTGTCTTAGGATTGGGACACCCAATAAAGTTCCATATCCATCCCTCGTTTGGCGGGAGCCTGCTTGCTTGAAATTTCCTTCGTAATACAAGCCTGTTACAAGGTGGGTCTTGATCCAGCCCCAAAAGTTGTTAGCATTCTGGATCTGTTAAAGACAATATGASAAAAGATGGAATATGCAGTACATGGTATGATCCATGCTCTACACAGTATCATCCATGCTCTACCCAGTGTGCACTATGCTCTACACAGTATCATCCATGCTCTACACAGTATCATCCATGCTCTACACAGTATCATCCATGCTCTACACAGTATCATCCATGCTCTACACAGTATACGCCATTCTCTACACAGTATCATCCATGCTCTACACAGTATACGCCATGCTCTATACAGTATGATCCATGTTCTACCCAGTATACACCATGCTCTACACAGTATAATCCATAGTCTACCCAGTATAAACCATGCTCTACACAGTAGGAACCATGCTCTACACAGTATAATCCATGGTCTACCCAGTATAAACCATGCTCTACACAGTATAAACCATGCTCTACACAGTATAA